CAAAAAAAAAAAAAAAAAGAATAAATCAATACATATCAGCTATAACCATAAATATAAATGGTCTCGGCTCACCAGTCAAAGGAATAGAATGGAAGAATAGATCAAGAAACAAGTTCCAACAATATACTACATATAAGAAACACATTTAACTCAATGAGAAAGACATAGACTGAAAGTCAAAGGATAGAGAGCAATACCTGATGCAGCAAGAACATGGGATAAAGCAGGGGTAGCTATTCTACTGCAGACAAAGTGGATTTCAAGCCAAAACTGATTAAGAGAAATAAAGAAGGTCCCTACATACTTGTTAAGGAAACAATCCAAAAGGAAGAGACAACAATCATAAACATATATACACCAAATACTGGTGCACCCAACTATATAAAACAAATATTAACAGACATGAAAAAACAGATAAGCAGTAATATAGTTGTAATGGGGGACCTCAATACCCCAGTGTTACAATAAGATCAACTGGACAAAAAAACAGCAAAAAATTTCAGAGCTGAACCAAACCTCTGAAAAACTGGACTTAGTAGATGTCTAGAGTATTCCACCTCACAACAACAGAATCCATATTCTTCTCAGAAGCACATAGGACTTTCTCCAAAATAGGTCACATACTAGCTAATAGAATATGCCCAAGAAAATGCAAAGGAACTGAAATTATGCCATGCACATTATCAGATCATAGTGCAATAAAATTGGAAATCAATGGCAAAGAAACCACAAAAACTTCATAAACACATGGAAATTAAGTAACACCATCATGAAAAACCAATGGGTAACAGATGAAATTAAAGAAGAAATTAGACAGTTTCTACAATTAAACAATGCCAATAAAACGTATCAGAATATATGTAATGAAATTAGTCTTACAAAGAAAATTTATAGCAATCAGTTCCCACATCACAAAAAGAGTGAGCTCAAATAAATAACCTAATATTGAACCTAAAGATTTAGAAAAAGAAGAAAAAGTTAAACCCAAAGCACACAAGAGAGGGAATTATAAAGATCAGAACAGAAATTAATGTAATTGAAACTAAGAAAACAATACAAAGAATAAATGAATCAAGCCAGGTGTGGTGGCACATGCCTGTAATCCCAGCACTTGGGAGGATGAGGCAGGAGGATCATTATGAGTTCGAGGCCAGCCTGGGCTACACGGTGAGCTCAAGGTCAGCCTGAACTGCATAGCAAGACCTTGTCACAAAAAGACAAAAAACAAAACAAAACAAAAGAATCAATGAATCAGACTTGGTTTTTTTAAGAGATTAAACAAAACAGACAAACATTTAGGCAATTTTATCAAAAAAAGAAAAGACTCAAATCCATGCAGTTAGGCATGTAAAGCGCAAAATCACAATAGATCTTGTAGAAATAGAGATTATTAATACCTACTTTGAGAACCTACTCTAATAAAGTCAAAAAGAAGAAATTGATGATTCCTAGGTACATATAAACTACCAAAGCTGAATCAAGAAGATATAAAAACTAAATAACCCAATATCAGTCAATGAAATTGAAGATGTAATTTAAAAACTACCAACGAAGAAAAGCCCAGGTCCTGTTTCCACTGCTGAATTCAACAAGAAATTTAGAGAAGATATAATTCTACTTCTCCCCAAACTCTTTAATGAAATTGAAAGGGAAGCACTCTTCCTGAACTCATTCCTGGAAGTAAGTATTACCCTTATATCAAAACCAGAGAAGGATCCAACCAAAAAAGAGAACTACAAGAGGATTATACAACATGACCAAGTAGGATTAATCCCAGGGATGCAATGATGGTTTAACATGTGCAAATCCATAAATGTAATACATCACATTAACAGAACCAACAACAAAAATTACATGATCATTTCAATAATTCAGAAAAAGCATTTGACAAAGTCCAACTCCCATTCATGATAAAACTCCTACAGACAATTGGAATAGAAGGCCTTTATCTCAATCCGAGAAAAGTCATCTATGACAAAGCAACAGCCAACATCACAATAAATGGTCAAAAACAGTAAGCTTTCACTTTAAAATCAGTAATAAGACAAGGATGACAACTATTACCACTCCCATTTGATATAGTTCTGGAAACCTTAGCCAGAGAAATTAGACAAGAGAAATTAAAAGAGCAATAATGATAGGAAATGAAGAAGTTAAATTATCATTATTTGCAGATGCATGATACTCTACATAAAAGACTCCAAAAACTCCACCAACGACTTCCAGATTTAATAACCAAACTAACTAGCTTAGCTGGATTCAAAATCAACCTTCAAAAATCAATAGCACTCCAGTATCCAAATAACAAACTCACTAAGAAAGAAATTAGGGAAAGAACACCTTTCAGATTGCCATCAAGAAAAATAAAATATTTAGGAGTCATTCTAATGAAGGAAGTAAGAGACCTTTACATTGAAAATTACAGGAATCTGAAAAAGGACATCGAAGAGGATCTCAAAAAAATGGAAAGATATCCCTTCTTCTTGGGTAGGAAGAACCAATATAGTGAAAATCGCCATATTTCCAAAACTGTTATACAGATTTAATACAATCTCAACCAAAATACTGGAGGCAGGTTTATTTTCCATCAACGGACACTGACTAGGATTACTCCTAAAATATCAGGCCCCGATCTCTGGGAGCCTAGGGCTTATATGCGATAAACAAGCAGGAAGTAAAGAGGCAGAATGGCTTGTCAATTGGGGATTGGTTCTTATAATATGCATCACAGTGACCAGCCATTTCTAGGAGACAGAAGCAACCAGAACTGGAACAGAAACTATTACCTGGGCAACTAAGAAAGTGAAGTATACTGGCTGGGGCGTTGGGGGATTTTCTGATACAATATCAACAGCATACTTCACAAAGTTGGAGAAAATGATCTTGTTATGGTTTGGGTCTGACTGTCCTCTCAAAGTCTCATGCAATCACAGGTGTAGGTATTTCAGAGGAGACTGAATATAGAGTATGTGATGCCAGGATTAAGGGTACGATTGGCTTGGCACTGCCTTAATCCTGGTAGCCTGGACACAATATAAAGGACAGAAAGAGGCATGTCTTGTCCCTTGTTGCTTTGCTACCTTCTTCCCACGATGAACTGTTTCTCTGCAATGTCTGTCTGTCATGCCACCCTGCCTTGAACCCAGCCAATTATGGACTAAAATCTCTACAAACTGTGAGCTACATAAACCTGTCCCCCTTTCACTTTGTGTGTCGGGCACTA